CAACGATAAATATTAAAATTAAACATGAAATTATTATTTATTTTATATTATTAATAATTACTTAGTTCTTTTAAACCATATAAACGTATTTTATATATATATATAATTTAGATTTTCGTTCGACTTTGAAACATGTTTTTGAAATGTTTATTTGCAGCGAAATATAGTCCAAATAAGAAAACAATATATAATTTAAATATTTATTATGAACGTTTCGACACTCTATGTGTGTCATCATTCAGCCTGTTCACAATATATATTACGTTTTTTTATTTCAAAATAATTTAGAAAAAAAAAATTCGAAAGAGATGATACTTATATGAAATTAATCTATAACAAGAACAAAATTGATTTACAAGTATATAAAAATTAAAAAATACTAAAGGTAAACTATTGAAGGAAAAATTAATTAGTTATTATTAAAGTTAATTATAACATTAATTTGAATAATTTATTCAATTATTGAATATTAGTACATTCAGAACCAGAAAAAGCACACAAAATTAAACAAATTAAACAAACAAAACAAAACAAAACTTTGCAATAAAATTCAAAATAAAAATAAACTAGTGGGGTGGGTGGCATCGTGCCTTAAGGCAAATTGCTGGAACTTCCCGTACCGTAACGAAATGTTGAAGGAATACTGAATGTTTTCAAATAGATTATTATAAATACAATAAAAGTATTGTAACATTGTCTAATATTTAGAAGAATTCTATAAACTAAATTGCAGAGTTGAAATTATTTGTTTAAAGTATATTAGAACTATAGTCAGAATTAAAAATAAAATCTGAATTATTTTCGATATACAAAAAAATTAAAAAATTTAAAAAAAAAAAAAAAAAAAATGGAACAAAATTTTTTTTTTCCAAAATCAATTATTTTGTTAAGACAAGCAGAAAGTTCTTTGAATCAATTGAATCGGACGCTTAATTCTCTCAAAAACTGCCATTTTTTGTACATTTAGCTCTGTATCTCCGAAATGGCTGGGCCTGCCTTTGCGAAAAACTAATAACCCCTTCTCCCAATCATTACTAATCGAATGTTTTTTAGATCATTCAAATCGGATGCTCTGTTCTCTCAAAAACTCGATTTCTATTTTCTGCACTCTTTGCTCCTTATCTCCGTAACTGCTGGACCTGCCTTTGTCAAAAACTAATCAGCTCTTCTCCTTATCAATAGGAATCGAATGTTTTTTAAATTATTCAAATCGGTTAATCCGTACGCCCGAAAACGTGGGCGAAAATTTGTATCCATACATACATACACACACACACACACACACACACACACACATCCATTTTTTCTGAGGTATGCCAAAACGTTCAGAAACCTTCAAAACGTCGAGAAATGTAAAAATTTTCAATTCCGATTTTCGGCCCATTACAATAACTTACCCTACGGGAAGTTAATAATATAATTATATATTTTGAGCCACTATTTCTCTGTTGCATTTAGATAAAAATATGTTCCTAATTAAAACAATATATTATTTGTTTCCATATTTTATTTTATTTCAAAGTTTTACTTTTTTGGAATTTTTATTTTTATTTTTTCCTGGTTTTGTGTGTTATTATATGAAATTTATTGTAAACTAAACTGTGTTGAAACATACGAAATAAATAGTTGAATTATTTGTTGTTTTTATTTCGGCTATTTGGCTGCAAATAATTATTATATACATATTATATTATAAATTATATTTAAAGTTAAAATTTTATGTGTATATATGATTAAACTTAGAAATACACATGCACAGAAATATACATCACTGAATGGAAAATGTTATTTTAATAATTTTTAATATTATATACATATACTGCACAAAATAAGAAAGCACAGAAGAAAAAATTTTAAGAGTGGTTTTACATTATAAACCTGCCTTTAACAAAACCACAAAAAATTATTAATTATTTCCCAAATTCTATTTTACCAAAAAATTATATATATTTGTCATTATAAGCAGTGGTGTTGTCGAGCCGGAACGAGCCGGAACGTCGTTCCGGCAAATCATTTTTGGGGCGGAACGCGTTCCGGCAAGAAAAAATATAAAAACATCGCTACATACAGAAAATGATTTAATAAGTAAATTTTATACGTTATTATTCAACTAATTTTTATTAAATGTTATTATTGTAATAAACATACATACATGTGCACAAAATGGGTTTTGTAATAATTTTTGTTTCTTTCCTTTTCGAACGGAACTGGAAAAACATGAAAACCGGTTTTAGAACCGGTTTTTAAATTTTAGCGTTCCGGCAAAAAAATATTAGCACAAAACCACTGGTTTTATCAAAGTCGTTTTTAATTTAGTAACAAATTGAGGTGTATGAATTTCTTATAGAAAAAATAATATTTATAAATTAAAATCTTACATTTATTCGCATTTCTCATACGCTAACATCTACATCATAGGTTCCTATTCATGTATTTTTATAGCCTTACGTGTGCCTATACGTTGCATTCTATACTACACGCCTTACATCTATACCATACGCTATATTTCATTATATACTCTCAAATCCCTACATTGTATACCGAATACACCTAACCTATATCTACTATATATCCTATTACCTATAATTTCCCTTACACGCTACATTAACCCTACCGAGATTCGAACTCGGGTCCGCCGCGTGGCACGCGACGACCTTATCCACTACACCACCGTAACGCTACAATCAACCGTCTTTTTTCGCGTGTCGTCGCGCCACCTTAGTATTAATTACCTAATTAATTAGAAAATGACCCGCGGAAACAACAGTGCGTCCCATATTATATTATTGGTGGGGGTATCCGATAGGGTAGTGGTTAAGGTGCGCGACTTCCACGCGGAGGTCCCGGGTTCAATTCCCGGTATAGACAATAGATAGGTAGAGATAATACATAGGGCGTAAGGTAAACCTATATAATATAGGTGAATATATAAATTAGACAGTAGTATTTATAAGAAGTAAAAGGTATGTAGGTATATAATAAGTTAATGACGGTATAGGTATCTCACGGTATGATAGATAATAGATATCTATCAATGATATACAATAATATAATATAGTATGATAGGTAATAGGTTATATATCATATTATTAGGTTATGGACTTATAAAGTCTTATAAAGTATTGTAATAAATCTTGAGAACTTTTATATCATAATAAATACCTGTAGGTATTAATGAATACAAATAATACCAGAATAAATATGATTAATGTCATTGAAGAATAAAAATTATATACTCAATGATTCCCTCATACTTGTACAATTTAATGTATAGACTAGCTGTGTATAATAGAGTTAATTATATAAAAAGTCAATATATTAGATTTGTGAGTTCTTATCGAAATATATCAAATTTTTTGAACCGGTTTATGAACCGGATTTTAAATTTTAGCGTTCCGGCAAAAAAAATATTAGCACAACACCACTGATTATAAGTATATATATATATATATATATATATAAATAAATTATTAATATATATATATATATATAAATTATATAAAAAATCTAGAAACATTATTGTTTGTATAACTATTATAATATAAAACAAGAAAGCATTAAAGAAAATGTTAAGAGCAGTGATTTCTAAGGAAATTCACATAGATCTTCAAGGATCCATGAAAACTTATATAATTATTATAATATAAAATAAAACAAGTGTACCCAAAAAAAAGTTTAGAGTGGTGATTCCCAAAGTGACCCCCAGTGGTCAATTACAACTTTTTGGGGTTTCACGAATTATAAATGAAAAAATTGTAAGGAGTGTACAAATTAAAAATTTTGTATATTACTAGAAACTTCCATCATTTCTTTATATATAAATAAAAAAATTATTAATTATTTATTGGTATTATTAACTTCCCGTAGGGTAAGTTATAGTAATCGCAAAAAAATCGAAAATGAAAATTTTTATATATCTTTACGTTTCAGAGGTTTCTGAACATTTTGGCATACCTTAGAAAAAATGGATGTATGTGTGTGTGTGTGTGTGTGTATGTATGTATGTATGTATGTATGTATGTATGTATGTATGTATGTATGTATGTATGTATGTACGTGTGTGTATGTATGTGCGGATACAAATTTTCGTCGACGATTTCGGGAACACGAATGAAGCGATTTGGATAATTCAAAAAACATTCGATTCGTATTGATAAGGAGACATGCTGATTAGTTTTTGGCGAAAGCAGGTCTAGCCGTTCCGAAGATACGGAGCTAAAAGTGCCGAAAACGGTAACTCAGTTTTTAAGAGAACGGAGCGTCCGATTTGAATAATTCAAAAAGCATTTTACTTGTATTGACAAGATGAAGAATTGATCAAATTTTCATGAGGGCAGGTCTAGCGGTTTCGGAGATCTAACGAAAAAAGTAAAAAAAATGCCATTTGGCGGTCAAAAATGATCATTAGACATATGCACATCAAATTATCAGATATTTTATAGAGATTTTAACAATAAGTATAAATTTTGTTTACATTCCTATGGGTTCCGTACCAATGTTTATCCGTTAGACAGCGACGCGGCGCTTACGCGCTTTATATTTTGTATCTATGCAGTTAAAGCAGTACGATTGCTTTGAAAAATAGTTCAGATCTTCCAAAATATGTCAAAATAAAGAAAACATTTTGTTTTCAAAAAAAAAAAATTAAAAAAATATTTTTTAAAAAAAAATTTTTTTTTTTTAAATTTTTTTTTCAAAAAAAAGTAACTTCTTGTCCAATTTATAGTTTCTCAAAAATATTATTTTTTCAAAGTAAATTTTTTTCAAAAATGTTAATCGTTTTTAAAAATAATAATTTTTGGTACGGGAAGTTCCAGCAATTTGCCTTAAAGCACGATGCCTCAATTGCCTTAAGACAGAATTCCACTTACAGCTAGTTACATGATAATTTTTATAAAAATCCTCATAGAATGACAATTAACATTTCAAGAATAGTAAAGGGCTTTAGAAATAGTGTTAGGGGTAGTAAAATATATAATATTTTTCTTCCAATCTCGCCCTGGTAGTAAGTATTGTCTCTAAATTGGCAAGTAAGTTTGGGTGATACAAAACATAATTAAAATTTAATTCAATAACATTTCCCATTCAGTGTCTCCTTATTACCATCATACATCACCCAATTTGCATCGTCCTTTCTCCGAACTTCAAACATCCGTCGCCTCCGGCACTTCTTTATTAGATTTGAGGGCATCCAGTAATCCCCTGCTTCGGCTCTTTTGCTGCTGATGATGATGTTTCTGCTGCTGTCGTTGATGATGATGTTGGAAGTTCGTGTTCCCTGAGCTTCAGAGTTCGTGCAAATTCTCGCAATTTTTGAATTTGCTGTCCTCCTTGCCCAGGATCCAGGTCAGCACTTGGCGAGCCTTCATGCTGGCGCGAATAACTCCTCTGGATTTGTACCAGTGGGCTGGGGAACCCTCACGAGAACCCTAAAAATAAAGGAAATATGAAATTTAAAACAATATCTTATATATATATATATATATATATATATATATATATAAATGGAGCTCTCGATCAAATGATTCGGTAAAACTCGAAAACGGCTAAACCGATTTGGCCAGTCTTAATCTTGCTGTAAGTGGAATTCTGTCTTAAGGCAATTAAGGCATCGTGCCTTGAGGCAAACTGCTGGAACTTCCCGTACCAAAAATTATTATTTTTTTAAAAACAATTAACATTTTTGAGAAAATTTTACTTCGAAAAAATAAGATGTTTGAGAAACTATACATTGGACAAAAAATTACTTTTTTGTGAAAAAAAAAATTTGATTTTTTTTTTTTTTTAATTTTTTTTTTGGAATTTTTTTTTTTTTTTATTTTGACATATTGTGGAAGATCTGAACTTTTTTTTCAAAGCAATCGTACTGCTTTAACTGCATAAGGACATAATATAAAGCGCGTAAGCGTCGCGTCGCTGTCTAACGCATAAGCATTGATACGGAACCCATAGGAATGTTAACAAAATGTATACTTATTGTTAAAATCTCTTTAAAATATCTGATAATTTCATGTGCATATGTCTAATGATCATTTTTGCCGCCAAATGGCTCATTTTTTTACTTTTTCCTCCATATCTCCGAAACCGCTAGACCTACCTTCATGAAAATTTTATCGATTCTTCATCTTGTAAATACAATGTTTTTTGAATTATTCAAATCGGACGCTCCGTTCTCTTAAAAACTGAGTTACCGTTTTCGGCACTTTTTGCACCGTATCTTCGGAACGACTAGACCTGCCTTCGCCAAAAACCAATCAGCACGTCTTCTGATCAATACGAATCGAATGTTTTTTGAATTATTCAAATCGGTTGATCCGTGTTCCCGAAATCGTCGACGAAAATTTGTACCGCACATACATACACACACGTACATACATACACACACACACACACACATACATCCATTTTTTCTAAGGTATGCCAAATGTTCAGAAACCTCTGAAACGTAAAGATATATAAAAATTTTCATTTTTGATTTTTTTGCTATTACTATAACTTGCCCTACGGGAAGTTAAAAATTCGTGCCAATCAGTTAGTAGGTTGTCGGAAAGGTGAGATATTATTTCAAAATCGCGTAGAAACTTTACATTTTTAATTTGAACATTTTTGTAGAAGCGTAATTTGAATAAAACAATGGACGGTGGCTAATACGTCAAATGCCAAACGTTTTTGAAAGATGATGTTCAATTACTTTTAATAGGATGTTTTCCGCGAATATTATTTAATTATGAATAAATTGTAGTAAGTAGTTTTGTTCGCAGTTTTATTTATACTCAAAAATGTTATTGAACGGATTGCAAGTGTTACTAGAAACTCAAAATATCAACTTTTTTGATATGTTAATATGAAAATGCACTTTTTGGCATATTTTTCTCAAACACGGTGCTCTGAAAGATCTCATTTGTATAATTATATACTCATTGGTATTTATAAAACATTTTCTAGGTTACATTATTTTTTATTTATGTTATTTAAATTCAGAACTCAAATTTGGTATCGATCAAAAGGATATTTGGCGAATAACATTTTCCCAGTTATAATTTCCCAGAATTTATCGCAGAATAGATAGTAATATATGAAGGTTCGGGGTTAAAAAGGTCCACCACCGATGTGTCAAAAACCAGTAAAGTTAAGCATTGTTTAACAACGATATTTGAAAGTAGAGGGAAAAAGATGTATAACCAGCTATATCTTTGATTCTTATAACTTTGCTATCGGGAGATAAACTGCAATTTTTGAAAATCCATAGTAAAAGTATTTTCTTCCGTTGGTAGTTTTTTAACATTAGTTAAAAATTTAATTATTTTGTAAAATACCTTTAAAATTAAAATACGGCATTAAACATATTTGCCGCCTGGTCTATTTGACAAATTTTTGAATTGCATCACAAAAGCAAATTAGTTTTACTGAACGTAGTCAGATAATTGTTCGTTTGAAATGCGTTATTTGTTGTGATATAATTAGTTTGATTTTTAAGTCAAATTGGACCTTTTTGATTGTATTGACAAAATATAGACAAACTAATGGGGTTTATTGTTTTTATAATACCTCATTGTATATAGCATTCAAACAACACATCCTTATACACTTAAAGTGTTAATTATTTTGATTCTCTAAAAATTGTTTAGAATATACCTTACTTAGCAAAACAACGTTTGCCAGATCAGTTAGTATTAAATATTATTCCACGTAGAGATTCAGTTTCCTTATCAATACAGTCTTTTACAGTGTTTGAATTTAATTATGATTGCAATTTCGAATTCACAAGCAATGCGATAATTGCATTCGACACATGGACATGAATTGTCTCCTGAATAATTATTAGACTTCGCCAAAGGGATTGTGTAATACGTCTGTCTGTTCTATTGAGAGCATATTCGATTATCGAAATGTAATCATCACAGATCGATATATCAATCCTACTTAATCGCCTAAGGATAATGTATTCTGTGTGATAGAGGATTCCTATTGACCAAAGATATGTCTTGGATAGAGAACAAGGTAAAAAGGAATTCTACTAACATACATAAAAATTAACAGATTTTACAGTTGTTATTTAAAAAAGGACAGTACAGATGTAAAGATTACGTATTTCAATTTCGAGTTTCTAAATTTCTATTCATCAAAGAAAATATGACGCAAATTTCAATAAATGCAAAAAAGTGTGCTAAATTTATTTAGTACTTACAATTTGTTCAATATATAAGATTTTATGTAAGGCAAACGAATTTTATGTGAATTTTGCAGTTTCAATTAAGTTTACAACATTTTTAGATAATTTTTCATATTTTCAGACAATTTTCAATATTTTAGACATTTTTTTAGACAACTTACACAATTTTTCAATAACTTTGCTAAGATAATCAATTGTAGTTTCAATTGAATTTTCAATATTTCAGACAATTTACACCATTTTTCAATAACTTTGCTAAGATAATCAATTGTAGTTTCAATTAAATTTTCAATATTTTTAGGTAATTTTTTATATTTTTAGACAATTTTCAGCATTTCTAGATAATTTACACCATTTTTCAATAAATTTTCTAAGATAAATATTTATAATTTAAAACAAAATTTAAAATTTTGAAATTATATTATACTGATAGATATTTAGGTAGATAGATAGATTAGGTAATATATACCATACTAAAATTACAAAGTCGTAATACAAACGGTAAGTCCTGAAAAGCTCATTAAAAATGACACTAAAATTGCAACATTGAAACAGATACTTTTCTCAGATAATCATTTATACCTCGTATTTCAAGACCAATTTAAAAAAATAATGATACAGTATTTTAGTACATATAATAGAGAATAATTTACAAAAATTACAAGTTCGTAGTACAAACAGTGGGTCCTGAAGTGCTCATTCAAAATGACATAAAGAGTGGAACATTTATATAGAAAATCTTTGCTGATGACATAAAAGTTTCCATATTGATGTAGGTACTTGGCTCTGATAATCATTTATTACTCGTATTTCAAGACAAAATTAAAAAAATTAAGTATTCAGTAAACTTGTAAACATACTAAAAAATATTATATTATAGTCACGTGATCGTAGTGCAAACGGTGCGTCCTGAGAAGCTCATTTAAAATGACATTAAGAGTGATACATTTTTATAGAAATTCTTTTCGTTAAATGACATAAAAATTACGACATTGATATAGGTACTTTGCTCTGATAATCATTTATTACTCGTATTTCAAGACCAAATTAAAAAAAATAAATACACAGTATATTAGTAAACATACTAAGAAATATCATACAAAAATCACATGGTGGTAATGCAAACGGTACGTTCTGAGTAGCTCATTCAAAATGACTTTATTTATATAGAAACTCTTCTCATGTAAAATGACATAAAAATTGCCATATTGATATACGTTGCTCTTGATTGATTGATTGATTGCTCTGATAATCATTTATTACTCGTATTTCAAGTCCAAATAAAAAAAATTAAGTATACAGTAAATTTGTAAACATACTGAAGAATATTATACTTAAATCACGTGGTCGTAACGCAAATGGTGCGTCCTGCAGAGCTCCTTTAAAATGGCATTAAATTGCCAACATTGATACAGGTAATCAGCTCATTTAAAATAACATCAATATAGGTACTTTGTTCAGATAATTAATTATAATTCGTATTAAAAGTCGCAATTAGAAATTTTAAGTATACAGTATTTTAGTAGACATTTTGAAGAATATCATACTATAATCACGTGGTCGTAGTACAAAGGGAGCGTCCTGCAGAGCTCATTGAAAATGAACATGTCACAATATCAATATAGTTGATCTGCTCAGATAACATTGGAGTTGTGACATAAGTACTTTGCTCAAATAATTGTTTTTAACTTATATTTTACAGCAAACTATATAATGCGAGTATATAGTATTTTAGTAGACATAATAAAAAATAACATAAAAAAATTACAAAGTCGTAATGCAAACTGTGCGTCCTGCAGAGCTCATTTTGAATGACATTAATGTTGCAACGTTAGAATGGGTACTTTTCTCAGATTATCATATATTACTCGTATGTCAAAACAAAATTTGAGAAAATTAGGTATGCAGTATTTTAATAAACATATCAAAGAATAACATACTGAAATTACTAGGACGTAATACAAACGGTGCGTCCTGAAGAGCTCATTTGAAATGACGTTGAAGTTACAATATTGATATAGTTACTCTAATTAAGAACTAAGAACAAGCTGCAGCACAGACACATGTACTTTAATCATATAATTATTTTTAAATTATATTTCAATAGTTATTTGGAAAATTTAAGTATGCAGTATTTCAGTCGCTATAATAAAGAATGACATACTGAAATTATGTGATTGTAATGCAAACGGTGCGACCTGAAGAGATCATTGAAATGAGCTTAAATTTGCAACATTTATGCAGGTGCTTTGCTCAAAAAATCATTTATAACTAATATTTCAGGAACAAATTAGAAAAAGTAAGTACGCAGTATTAAAAATTAACATACTAAAATCAGGGGATTGTAATGAAAACGATGCGTCCTGAAGAGCTCATTTAAAATGTCGTTGAAGTTACAATATTTATATAGTTACTCTAAGAACTAAGAACAAGTTGCAGCACAGATACGGGTACTTTACACAGATAATTATTTTTAAGTTATAATTAAATAGTAATTTGGAAAATTTAAGTATGCAGTATTTTTGTAGATATAATAAAGAATGACATACTGAAATTATGTGATCGTGATGTAAACGGTGCGTCCCGAAGAATGAACTCAAATTTGCAACATTTATGTAGGTGCTTTGCTCAAAAAATCATTTATAACTAATATTTCACGAATAAATTAAATAAAGTAAGTACACAATATTTTAGTAAATATATTACAAAATGACATACAAAAATCACGAGACGGTGCATCCCACAAATCTCATTCAAAATCAAAATTTCCACATACGACCTTTACCCCAATTTACCCCTTTTGCATTCCGTCAATATCGAGTGTCGTGTGATTCTGTATCATACAAAATTGTTGTGTCTGACACCAACATTCGATTGTTATTGGAAGAGGGTTATATGTAACGTGTAACATGTAATATGTGTAGCATTTGTGCCAATATCGAGCGCAGAACAAATATTGTAGTTAGGAAGGTGATATGTGGCATAGTATAAGAGAGACGTCGTGTTCTCAAATAGGATAGGCTGACGAGGGCGGCGGTAAAATGAGGTAAGGAAAGGTGAAAATATAGACAGGCAGCTGGTAAACTAATTGCACAAACTTCCCGATACGTATACATAATCAATAAGAATTGACATTCAGCTATTTATGTAAACTGTTTGTTATGCAACATTTAATTATGAAGAAATGGCCTGGCAGATCTTTACCGAAAACTTATTAGCACGATTCTCAATCAGTAGGCTACTCAATTTCTACTTTTAAAACAGTTTTTGAATTTTGAAAACCGATTCAAGATTTTGGTTTGAAGCATGGACGAAATTTTTTAAATTTTTTTTACACAAAGAAACAGCTCGATTACATCGAACCACATCGGCTTTGAAAATTTTAAAATCGATCAAAAAGCTTTTGAGAAAAGGTCGTCAAAAGGCCAAAAATGACAAATTAAAATTCCTAATAATTCTTAATAATTCAACTCATAATCAGAGTGTTAAATATTGATGTAAAATTCGACACACTTTAAGTTTAAGAGGGAAGCCTGCTTTTTGGGCTTAAAAAAATTGATTTTGCAAAAATGTCGCAAAAGTGTCTTCCAAAACTAGTCAAGAATATATTTCTTAAATTTCAGAAACCAATTCAAATTATTTTCGGAGTCACAGAAGAAATAGTGAGCAAATTTTGTATGAAAAAACATGATTTTTTTCTCAAGTCGCGAAAAATTTGTGAAATTCTCATTTTTTTCTGGACATTTTAGGTTCAACTAAAATATATACTATTGAATATATATATTTGATTTAATTTTTTTGTTTCTGATAGAAATTGTGACCTGCGTCTTTCCCGGCGAATGACACCTGCACGCTCGTGGCGCATAGGCAAAATGCTCGAACCCGGTATATTATTACATATATTTTGAAGAAAAAAAATGAGAAGAATGTTGAAATATATAACAATAAAACCTAATATTTTCGTTTCAATTAAATATTTATTTCCTTCCCTAAAAATATATTTTATTTACTTTTACTTTGCAATCAATTCGTCAATTGACAAAAAACAATCAGAATAATATTTTCTTTATTTTCGAATTGTATCTCATTAATTTTTTTAGGAATACACAATTCTTATTTTTTTAGGACCTGCTTCAGATTCAATCTCAAGCCATGTTACTATAAATTCAGACAAAAAGCTCACAAATGACCCTGCACTATTTTTTTATTTTTTTAATACAATTTATTTCAATAAGATAAATAAAATTATCTTTTTGATGTGTGCTTACTCTATGATTGACGAATATACTCGTCATGTCGTTTCTGTCGATACAAATCTTTGAGCAATTCTCAATAAACGCGCCACAATTAACTGGCTAAGCAAGTAGTGAAACTAGTGGTGCATGGCATCGCGCCTTAAGACAAATTGCTGGAATTTCCTCATAACAAAAATTAAATTTTTTAAAAAAGATTCAATTTTCTTTTAGAATTCTGAAAAAATCGGTTTTTGAGATGTTGAAAAATTAGATTTTTTATACTTTGAAATATTTTGGATTTTTTTTCAAAGCAATCGCTATACGTTAGCTGCGTATGAATGAGATATCGAAGCGCGTTGGCGCCGCAATATACCGGATAATCATTGGTACGGAACCCATAGTAAAGTGAACAAAATTTGTTATTATTATTAAAATATCTATAAAATATGTGATAATTTGATGTGCATATGTCTAATGATCATTTTTGATCACCAAATGGCATTATTTTTAATTTTGTTACTAGATCTCCGAAACCGCTGGACCTGCCTTCCCAAAAATTTAAGCAGTTGTTCATCTTGTCAATACAAGTAAAATGTTCCTCGCATTATTAAAATCTGACGCTTCGTTTTCTTGAAAACTGATTAACCGTTTTTGGCACGTTTTGCCTCGTATCTTCGAAACGGCTCGACCTCTTTTTTTAATTATTCAAATCGGTTGATCCGTGTTCCCGAAATCGTCGACAAAAATTTGTATCTGCACACACAAACACACACATACATACATACACACACACACTTCGCCCATTTAATAGATGAGTATAAAATCAAGTTAAGAATTATAACATTCTAGATCCTACCCCCACGAAGTAATGCCTAACGGCGGTTTAGGTGGGGACTAGAGGCAAGGGCAAAGCGGAGGTTTTAGTCGGTATTAGTCCGACATACCCAGACAGAACACCAGTCTGGGATGCATAAAGGCATTTCCTTCGCTATACAAAAAAAAAACACACACACACATTTATCCATTTTTTTCTAAAGTATGCCAAAATGTTCAGAAATCTTTCAAACGTAAAGATATATAAAAAAAATCATTTTTTTGCGGTTACTATAACTTACCTTACGGGAAGTTAACAAGAGAGTATTTTTATCATAAAATTGACATAAGTATCTTATCACTATTTGTCTATCTATCTATTTCCTTACCTGCAACGCGCAATGTTCCAATTTCAGCCTGATCTGGTTGAGTATGCCTACCAACAGCTCGTCGACGTTGTGGTTGATGGCGACAGACACCTCGACGAACTTCGCACGGTACGTGCAAGCCAGGCACCTTCCGTCTGTTGTCAAAGGGAGGAGGCTCTCGTTTAAAATCGACAGAGAAACATCGTGACACACATGTATAATATTATTATTATTATTACCTTGTGCAGAAACGGCTCTACTCCTCGCCAAATCGATTTTGTTGCCGACCAGAAGCGCCGGTCTGGTCCTGAGCAGAGCCAGGTCCATCAGTCTGGTCAACTCGGCTTCGGCTCTAGAGAACGATGATTTGTCTACGACTGAATACATGACCAGAAATGCATCGGGGGAGTTTTGCGCTGTTATTTGTTCCTGAAAGAGAAATAAATGATTTTTAGTTTATATGGAAATTTAGTAAATTTTATCTAGTATGCACTAAAAACAAATGCATGGTACGAAGTTTTTGAGTTTATTGAGGAAATATCAAAAAATGTCTTGAATATTACACTAAGATTTCATACTAGTTTTATTCAAAACTAGATGACCCGACAGACGGTGTCCTGTACGCATGTCGACAATTTTTTAATATATTAGGTTGTCAAATATCTCCCTTCCGCTTTTTTGCTCCTGGTTTATAATACAAAAAGGCGAAGGGAGATATTTGACAACCTATATCTATTATATCTGTATATATTAATATACTAATATTTACCGTTTACCTAAAAATAATAATTATTGTTTTTTTAAATTACTTTTCACGCCAAAATGCATATACATTCATAATATGAGTGATGTTAAATGTGGAATTGCTTTAAATAAAATGATCAGTCTCAATTCCCACACTATATTGGAAATTGAAGTCTTTTAAACGGTATAATATAACCATAACTATAACATAACACTGGTACTTCATGTTGGATTAAATTAATTTAATTTTTTATTATTTAAGATATCCAAAATCGCATCTTAAAATTTTCCTAATCGATATCGTGAGGGCCGAATTGCATGTATATTCATCTTTACTGTCCATTTGTTGTTATAAAGTGAAATTTGTACGAATTTTATAAATATTGTGGAAAGATTAGTAAAAGATGCAAAGAAATTGTATATTCAAAAAAAACTATATTAAAAATTTAATATCCGAATCTTGTGTTGGCGCCCCCTAACGCGTGCGCTCGTATTTTTGCCCACGCATCGCATTAAAGGTAGGACCGGCCCTGATTAATGCTTAATTTCATATTTTAAGTGAATTAATTTGTCATATCATGTTCAGATGTGTATCATTCCATCTGCGATACATATACTGTATTTTATATTATTTAAATTTTTGGCACATCTCAGCTGCTTTTTGACAATAATAATGTAGACATTACATTTTTCTTATTCATAATCATAAATTTATTATACATATTCTAATATTGTCTAGGTTCATAAGTAAATTGAAATTTTTGGCAGATGATAGTTTTCATCTGTTTTCAATGCAAACAATGGCATGTCGTTTTTTGCCATTTTTCTCATTTATTTCTACAATATTGCACATACATCACAGTACTTTATAATCACATACATGCTAGAAAATTACCTTAACAAACTTCAGAAAGATTTATCAAAATCCGAATAATAGTTTAGGAGTATACAGTGAGTGCTCGTTATTTAATCTTTTCATATATTTCATACAATATATGAAATTGTTGTAATTTTGATCTAGTTTCTAAAGCTAAGTTGAAGAAACAAGAGTGCCTGGTACAAAATATTCGAGTTATTTAAAAAAGAACACTCAACTTGCGTTTTTATCGCATTCATTAAAACGTAACAGATTTACATAATATAAAAACTAAAAAGTTTCTAAAGCTAAGTTGAAGAAACAAGAGTGCCTGGTACAAAATATTCGAGTTATTTAAAAAAGAACACTCAACTTGCGTTTTTATCGCATTCATTAAAACGTAACAGATTTTACATAATATAAAAACTAAAAAGTAGTAATTAAATATAAAGTATATACGGCAATATATACATAAATACACAATTGTATGTATATATTGAATACATAGTATGTACAGTCTGGTTTATGTGGACATTGCAATTCGGGACTCAATTATGGATACAATCGAGACGGCGAACAAGAGCCCTAATTAATTTCGCTCCTGAATAAATAACTCGGACCGCCACTGGATATTAATTATTTACAATATATACATGTAAATACACTCTTGTAAACAATATTGGGGATGAAACCAGCTCTGTACGAAAAAGGAAAATTCAAAGCATAAAAAATGTGTTACTTGAATATAAGTATTATAATATTGTAGTAATACTAGTCTTTATGAAAATTTGTTATAATAATTGCTTTAAAGAGTTATAAAAATGTGTCAGTTGTCATAAAATCATATTTCTTTCTTTTTAGGCATATTCTTGAACAAGCTTATAAAAATCAATCCACACAATTTGTGCAATGTATTTTGTATATCATGTTGTATTTATCCATAGGTGCTAAAATCAATGCATTATTTTTTAAAGGAGTTTAATTATAATTCCACATATTGCAGTACTGGACCTATTTTGTATATCAATATATTTCCTGAGTGTTTGCAAATGCAATTAACTTTATAAAATACAAAATACATATTTTAATCTATCATCTACCCAACTGACCCTTATGTCGTCGCCAGCAAATGCAATATTCTCGTTAATAATTCATCGTCGATGAGTATCGATACATTATCGATAATAACGAACACGATACCACAAGATAGATAGATTCTGAACGTCAATTTTGTATATAACAACAACTCGATTATAAACTAATTACTTGGAACAAGGATATTGTTCCATGAAGTATGGATTTTTCTACATTTTTTGTAATAATTTGAAGTATTTTAGTTAGCTTAACAGAAACTAGATAAAATTTACTAGAATTCCATATGAACAATTTTACAGAGTCTGATACGAAAATTTTGAGAAAAAATATATAGTTTGAATTAGTCCTTAGGTAATAAATATGCTCTATATGAGTTCGGGACATTTTTCTACATTTTGTCAAATTTTTTACTTTGGCTTAGCAGAAACTAGATGTAATTTACTTAAATTCCTTATGTACTGTTCTATACACTTCTATACATTTAAAAAAAAAAAAAAACTAGTTTGCACACACTCTTAGATATTGTGTACATTTGCTATATTCATGATATTTTTCTACATTTTGCCAAATATCTTGAAAATTTTATTCAGAACGCTCTTATTTCTTTAGCTTAGCAGAAACTAGATAAAATTCAGTAAAATTTCCCATATACCGTCTTACACGCTCCTATATACATTTTTTGAAAAAAAAAAAAACAGTTTATAAACGTCTTTAGGTATTGTGTATATGTTTAAATTGAATTCGGATCACTTTTCTACATTTTGTCAAATACTTCGAAAATTTCGTTCCATACATTCTTTTTTCTCTAGCTTTGCAGAAACAATCATTTTTTTTTTAAATTCCTTATGTATTATTCTATACACTTCGGTAAATTTTTTTGGAAAAACACGCCCTTGGGTATTGTATTTCACTCCTGGACATTTTTCTGAATTTTTTCAAATATTTCGAAAATTTTGTTCCGGGCACTCTCTTTTCTTCAGCTTAACAGAAACTAGATAAAATTTACAATAATTCCATACAAACTGTTTTATATACTCACTCCGATACGAAAATTTTTGAAAAAAAAAATAGTTTGAATCACATTAAGATATGTATTTGCTATATTTGAGTTGGGGACATTTTCGTACATTTTGTCAAATATGTGAAAAAATTTTTTTCGAGACACTTTTTTATTTAGCTCAGCAAAAACTAGATAAAATTTACTAAAATTCACTATCCTACACATTCTAAAATGAAAATTGTGAGAAAAAAACTAGTTTTTACACGCCTTCAGGTATTGTTTACAAGCTATTTTGTCAAATATCTTAAAAATTTCGTTCCGTACACTCTTTTTTCTTTAGCTTAAGCAGAAACTAGATAAAATTTACAACAAATCCATATAAAGTGTTTTATACACTGTTATACAAAAAGTAAAAAAAAAAACTAGTTTTTAAGTCCTTAGGTGCTGTATACATGCTATATTTAGCTTCTGGACATTTTTCTACATTTTGTTAAATATCTCAAAAATTTTGTCTTAGCAGAAACTAGATAAAATTTACTAAAATTCCATATAAATTGTCTCATAGACTTCGATGAAAAAATTTTGAATTGGATTTACTCGAACTTATATTTCCCGGTACTCAAAATACAGTAACAATAGAATAGTCTTTGTTGTTAATCATTCATCTATTTTTACAACTACAAAATAAATTTCATTTAATCATTTTCAAAAATAAACATTTCTATCATTCGCTCTAGAAATCGACTCATCATCAATTTTTGAATTAGTCACGATCAAATTTAGAACAGAACGTGTTATTACAATGTTACAAGTATCCCGAATGGATCTAAGAGCAGCAGGTGGATTATATTTTTAGCTCTTGGTAAGATTTGTATCTTTTTTGGGGATTTAATTGACGCTAATATCATTCATCTGCTTTTTATCAAATCGGAAAACAAGGATTATGATTTATTTTCAGTTTGAAGAGATAGAATTGATTTATGGGAAGAAAAAATATTTATTTTGAAGTATGAGGATTTCAAGGATTAGTTGGGGAATAGCCTTGTTACCTTGGTCCATTCCAATTTAGGTAAATGAATAGGAATCCTTGTTGACCTAAATATTTCTTAATCCTTGCGTTATCTCTGGAGTTAAATGGTTCTCGAAGGATTATATATGGACACTAATCTCCTTTTGAGACCGGTCGTGTTTCCAATTATATTTCAAGTTGTACTTTTAAGTAAAATCGTGATATTTAGTTTCTGATAATAAATCACTTATTTCAACCATAGATTTTCCTCACAAATAAATACTTCCACATTCCATTTTCCACTTAGCATTTCATTGAAAGGAAAGTGATTGATCCGGAAGGATGATTCAGTCGAATAAATAAAGTGTGTTATTCTATTCGATACAGATTACTCTGAAGGATAATCTGTAGGGTCCTTTTGACGTGACAAAGTGATGTATTCAATATCAGAATCTACTGAAATACGGATTATTGACACATTCAAATACCATGGTGTAATGCAAAAAATACACTTTAAACTAGTTTTACTTAAAATTGTTATGTCGGTGTACATAAAATTGTATATGTGCAAACATAGCTAATTTTATCTACTTTCAGCTAAGATAACTAAAAAAGAGTGCTCGGAGAGAAACTTTTGAGATATTTAACAAAATGTAGTAAAATATCCCAAACTCAGTTATATCAAAATTGCATAAAATCTATGGGTGAGTATAAACTATATTTTTCTTACAAAGTTTTGTATTGAAGTGCATCAAGCAGTTTATACAGAATCTTAGTAAATTTTATCTAGCTATGCTAACAAAAAAAGAGTACCTTGAACAAAATTTTTAAGATATTTGACAAAATGTAGAAAAATGTCCTAAATATTTATATAATACTAAAGCAAAAATTTTATACAGGTTTGTAAAAAACAGTTTATTCAAAATCATAGAACATTTTATCTAGTTTCTGCTAAATTACAGAAAAAAGAACACCCGAAACAAAATATTTGAATAGGTATAAAAAAGGCTTCTCCATTTGTACAATATATACGGGGGGGAAGTTCAAACTTACATTTTAATTTTAATTTACACAATAATTTTGTTCCGGAGTGTTTAAGATTGTTTATATAAAATGGTGAATTTTATCTAGTTTCTGCAAAGCTAAATGAAAATGACCATCCAATTTCCATCATTTAAACCAGATGCTCCGTTGACTCAAAAACTAAATCGACATTTCTTGCACTTTTGCCCTGCCTTTGTCAAAAAACTAACCAGCAAACTAAATATTTGTATAGAAGAAAGAATATTTATAAATTAAATCTATATAACATTCGCAATTCTTATACGATAACCCCTAATATCATAAATTTCTTTTCGCGTATGTGTATCACCTATACCTAAACCATATAATACCTAAACATTACATTTTACGTGGTTATACGCCTTATAACTACTATATCGTACGTTCCTTACACTTATATCTAAACCGCCTAACAATTTATATCTTAAGCCTACAATTTCGCTTACATACTATTTTCACCCTTACCGGGAATCGAACCCGGGTCCGCCGCGTGACAAGCTACGACCTTAACCACTACACCATCGTAACGCTGCAATCAACCGTCTTTTTTCGCGTGTCGTCGCGTCACCTTAGTATTAATTACCTAATTAATTAGAAAATGCTCACTTAATTAGAAAATGAACCAAAGAAACAACAGTCCATAATATATTTTCAGTGGGGCGACCCGTAGAGTAGTGGTTAAGATGCGTGACTGTCACGCAGAGGAACCGGGTTCAATCCCCGGTACAGGCAATAGATAGGTAGAGATAATACGTAGGGCGTAAGGTAGAAATATAACACATTACCTATTAAATAGGTATGTAGGGTGTCTGATATGTATATATATATATATATATATATATATATATATATACATATATATAAACACACACACACACACATATATATACATATATATAATAATAATTTAGTTAGCAAATAATAAGCTGTAATAGATTATTTGTATGGATAGAAAAATTGATGGCATAGGTATTTCACGGTATAATAGATAATAGTTAAATTATCTATTATATATAATAGTATAGTATAATATAATAGTATGATAATAGTAAGATTATCATATCCCAAATTTAGTCTTATATTATAATAAGTTTTATATCATAATAAATAAGCGTAGGTATTAATAAAATTAATATCAAAATCAATTTATGTTATTAGTGGATATAAATTATGTACTCAATGATTTCCTTATACTCATAATTGGTTAGGTTTTCACAATATTATTGCCCAAAGTCAAATTGGACCTTTGTGCCCCGTCCTACCATATATTTAACTTCCCGTAGGGCAAGTTATAGTAATTGCAAAAAAATCGAAAATGAAATTTTTTATAAATCTTTACGTTTCAAAGGTTTCTGAACATTTTGGCATACCTTAGAAAAAATGGATGTATGTGTGTGTGTGTGTGCGTGTGTGCGTGTGTGCGTGTGTGTGTGTGTGCGGAAAACAAATTTTCGTCGACGATTTCGGGAACACCGATCAATCGATTTAAATAATTCATAAAACATTCTATTCATATTGATAAAGGAGACGTGCTGATTAGTTTTTGGCGAAGGCAGGTCTAGCCGTTCCGAAAATACGGGGAAAAAAGTGCCAAAAACGGTAACTCAGTTTTTGAGAGAACGGAGCGTCCGATTTTAATAATTCAAAAATCATTTTACTTGTATTAAAAAAAAGTAAAAAAATGCCATTTGGCGGTCAAAAATGATCATTAGACATATGCACATCAAATTATCAGATATTTTATAGAGATTTTAACAATAAGTATAAATTTGCATACCTATGGGTTCTGTACCAATGTTTATCCGTTAGACGGCGACGCGGCGCTTACGCGCTTTTACATTTTGTCTCTATGCAGTTAAAGTAGTACGATTGCTTTGAAAAAAAGTTCAGAATTTCCAACATTTTTTTCCAAAAAAAGTAATTTTTTGTCAAATTTAAATTTTCTCAAAAATCTAATTTTTTCGAAGTAAATTTTTTTCAAAAAATGTTAATCGTTTTTAAAAAAATAATAATATTTGGTACGGGAAGTATCAGCAATTTGCCTTAAGGCACGATGCCATGCGCCCCACTAGTTTTAGTTATGAATTCACACAATGTTGTAAGATTGTCCTAATGGAATTGTCATAAATTTTATCTTTTTTACAGTTGTAGAGTTGTTTATTAAAATGTACAAAAAGGTCCCAAATTCAAAGATGACCAATTATATTTGTATTAGGTTACCAATGTACTAAAAGTATCCAAAACAAAGAAAAAATCGACGTGTGAAGAAAAAAAACTCTACTGACGATCAAAAAAGATATTTCTGAAGCAATAATAAATATTACTTACCTTTGGTCTAGTGATATTTATAAATTTCAATTCACTTTCTTCTCCGTTCAGCATTATTGAAACAGTCTGATCCTCTCCTACCTCATCTGTAAAAAAAAAACAATAAAAATAAATAATATTATCAATAATAAATAATATATATATATATATACTAGATGACCCGACAGACGTTGTCCTAACCATGTCTACAATTTTTTAATATAATAAACTAATATTTACCGTTTACCTAAAAGTAATAATTATTGTTTTTTAAATTACTCTTCGCGCCAAAATGCATATACATTTATAATATGAGCAATGTTAAATGTAGAATTGCTTTAAATAAAATGATGAGTCTCAATTCGCATACTATATTGAAAATTTAAGTCTTTTAAACGGTATAACATAACCATAATCATAACATAACACTGGTACTTCATGTTGGATTAAATTCATTTAATTTTTTATTATTTAAGATATCCAAAATTGCATCTTAAACTTCTCCTAATCGATATCGTGAGGGCCGAATTGTATGTATTCATCTTTACTTTCCCATTTGTTGTTATAAAGTGAAATGTTTACGAATTTTAAAAATATTGTGGAAAGATTAGTAAAAGATGCAAAGAAATTATATATTGAAAAAAGAACTATATTGAAAATTTAATATCCGAATCTTGTGTTGGCGCCCCCTAAGGCGTGCGCTCGTATTTTTCGCATGAATTGCTTTAAAGGTAGGCTGATTAATACTTAATTTCATATTTTACGTGAATTATTTTGTCATATTTGTTCATATGTGTATAATTCAATCTGCCATACATATACTGTATCTTACATTATTTTAATTTCTCGCACATCTCAGCTGCTTTTCGGCAATAATAATGTAGCATTTCATTTTTCTTATTCATAATCATAAATTTATTATACATATTCTAATATCGTCTAGGTTCATAAGTAAATTGAAATTTTTGGCAGATGATAGTTTTCATTTATTTTCAATGTAAACAATGACATGTCGTTTTTTGCAATTTTTTCCATTTATTTCTACAATATTGCACATACATCCCAGTACTTTATAATCGCATACATCCTAGAAAATTTCCTTAACAAACTTCAGAAAGATTTATCAAAATCCGCATAATCGTTTAGAAGGAGTATACAGTGAGTGCTTGTAATTTAATATGAACTTTAATAGCAATAAAGTTCAAATTAATTTTATGTTTTAGTTAGAAAACGTTTGTATGAGAAAAAGAAAAAGGCTGTTTTTAGGGTTTTCCCGAAAATTATTCGATTTTTTCTCGCCGTAAGAACCATCCTTAGACCTGAACAAACATTTAAAAAAAAGAATCGGCCAAATTGGTCCAGGCGTTGTTGAGTTATGCGCTTACTAACAAATTTTGCGATTCATTTTTATATATGAGATATATATATATATATCCTACACTGCAAAACTCAAAATACCTTAACTTTTATTATTCATAAACCCAAATCACATCGAGTGCTATCGCCTTATATTTGTATCAAATATTTACGAACCGAGTTCGAAATCTTTGATATAAAATATTTTGCACAAAATACGTGTCAGAATTTTCCATTTACTCAATTTTACTATTTTTACTATTTTTACTATTTTTGCTATTTTTGCTGTTGCTCCTTTGAAAAGCGCACGTATCGCAACGGCTGTGCAATGTGCAATGTGCAATTTTCTGCACCGAGTGAGCAAAATCGATTATGAAACGAAATTGAAATGTTTTTATGCATTTCACACAACACTATGGAAAGAAAATTCGATAAATTCTCATACAAGGGTAAAGGATAGATCAGAGACATGGACTCAACAAACATAGTGTTCCAAAACTCAACGTCAAAAATGATTTAAATGATCAAAAGTAGAGTTTGTCGGTTTTCAAAAACCGGTTTTTGGCGAAAATTATGGAATTCGAAAATCGGTTTTTTAGTGAAAAAACTCGGTTTTTACTGTATAAATGGAAAATGACAAATATAGCCAAATATAAAAGATAGATGAAAGCGTTTTGATTCTTGAAATCATTTCGGTTCAATAGCATTTAATATCTTATCAGTCTGCAATGATTCCCAGAAAGGTTTTGTATATTTAATTTAGATTTTTATACCAGTGTATATATTAATTTAAATCAGTGTGGTTTCTTCTAGAAGAAGTAACTTCCTCTACTCAAACTGAAAAAAAGAGTTTTAAACCCTATAAGCCACAAATTAAAGAACAAAAAACATAGAATTATTATATCAGGCTTCAAAAACAATTAATCATAATTTGGTCGCAAGTATGAGAGTAATTTCTATTTCAGAAAATTTTGTTAGAAACAATAAAGGTCATGTCTAAGTAGCAATTCGATAGACGTTCTTAGTTTTTTGAAATCATATTTTATGAAACACAAATACAATTAGAATGTTCAAATTTAATTAATTAAAATTGCTCGGAACAGACAATATCCGAGTTTAACTTAATTATTTTTGAAACTGAAATTGATATTAACAAGTATGTATCAACATGTATCTAATTTTTTTTTAATTTGATGCATTTTTTTATTTAAAAATGTATTATTTTTATTTATTCGAAAACTTTCTTTTTACTATCATAAAAATATTTTCATTCTTATATAAAGTTGTCAAATATCTCCCTTCCGCCTTTTTGTATAATAAACTAAGAGCAAAAAAGCGGAAGGGAGATATTTGACAACCTAATATGTGAAAATGATGCATGAATAACGAATAATTATTTTCAAAGTTATTTATTCAAGATAAACTATTATTCTTTAGTTCTACTAATTAAAATTAAAATAATTTTGTTTACTATCTATAAAATTGAACAATAAATAAATTCAGTCAAATACTGCTCTAAATTACACTAAATTTGCGGATAAATTACAGAATATTCGAGCAAAAATTTATTTTTTATATAAAATTCGAAAACCGGTTAAAACCGGTTTTTTAGTAAAATTAAAATTCGAAAACCGGTTTTCTGAAATGTAGGTTTTTATGTAAACACTAATGAAAAGCAATAAAAATTATCCACAATCAAAAATCTATCCGAAAATTGGTTCCTACAATTTGACCGGAGCTTTGGTCGAGAGAGCTAGGTTGTAGGTAATAGCTCTTAATTTGCAAACTACATGGGATTTTTTTCTAATATTTTTATCATTCAGTTCTTCTGCATTTCAAACAATTACCATTATCATTGAGTGTCAAGCATCTCCATACATTCCATAAATAACGACCAAAAATACACAAAACTTTATAAAACCCCAACCCCATTATAAATTCAGAACTTTACGAGTTCGTCTGAATATTTTCCGTACTTTAAGAGTGCGTAATTTTTTCTTTTGCTAAGTAGATAAAATGGAAACCAGGACAAGGAACAATATTATACATTCTGCGTTCAACTATGTTGTGCATTTTCCATTTTATGTATGAAGAAAACCTCTTAGAAGGATACCTGCGTGCCGGCGGCAATATATGGGAAATAGTCCGAGGGTCAGAGACAAAATAGGAGCATAACTACAAGAATGTAGACGGTTTTATCGAACTTTTAGTATGGGAATATATAAAATAAATTATACAAAACTTTAGTTATCTAGTTATCTAGTATTATCTAGTTTCTGCTAAGCTAAGTAGAAAATTGTGCCCGGAATAAAATATTTAATTCATTGAAAGAAATGTAAGAAAATGCCTTAAATCCATGAATGCAAACTTCTACACTATATAATGGTAATTCAAACTCTTTTTATTCAAAATTTTGGTTTCAAAGTGCATAAAACAGTTTATATAACGTTGTTTTAAATTTTAGCTAGTTTCTGCTAAGCTAACTAAAAAAGAGTGAAAAGAACCAAATTTTCAGGTAACTTAAAGAAATGTAAGAAAACGTCTTAAATCCATATTCAAGCAAACTCGTATAGAAAATTCGCACAAAATATAAGGGCGAGTTCTTTATTTAACTTTTTTGCATTAGTTTTATTCAATCTTTTCAAATTGGAGAGAAAAATATTTAACACCAAATTTTAGTAAATTTTATCTAGTTTCTTCTAAACAAAAGGAAAAAGAGTCCCCAAAACATACTTTTAGTTTTTTTACGTTATTTCAAGAAATGTAGAAAAATTTTCTAAACTAGTACTTTACATAAAAGTGAATCAAACTCGTTTTATTTTAAATTTTACCATCAAAGAATATTAGATATTTTAAGTGGAACAGAAGTAAATTTCATCTAGTTTCTGCTAAATTAAATAAAAAAGTGTGACACAAGCAAAAATTTTAGGTTACTCAAATAAATGTAAAAAAATGTTCCCAATCCAAATATAGAAACTTGTACACTTTACAAAAGTGAATCAAACTCTTTTTATTTAAAATTTTAGTAATTTTAGTTTATATAGATTTATATGAAATTGTCGTAATTTTATTCCAGTTTAGAGAAAAAAGAGTGCCTATAACAAAATTCTAATGTTATTTAAGCAAATTTAGATAATTGCACTAAATCCATATAAATAAATTAATTTCTAAAAATGCTAACCTGAAATTGTATTAAGTAGAAGGAATAAATTATAATACTTGTATTTCTTATAACATATCCCGCAAATATTTATTTTACATGATCATTTTCCTATAAAATAATAAACTAGTTGCAAACTAAGGAAGCAATTTTATTCGGAGTATTTTACTTGAGTAGGTGTCGTGTGACCTTGGACTATTTTTCTTTGGAAAATACATAAGTGGTTTTTACACGAGGATGACTAGACGAAGAAAACGAAGCATATTGTTATATGAAAGGATATAGCACCAGCCAGAAAGGATATATACCGTAGCAGATGTAAAGGATAAAACTAGCATTATATCTTATATATTTATATTTATATATTATATACGTCATCGTTCGTTCCATTTCCATCCCGCAAATAATCCCGACATTTTAACGATCCACAATTAAAAGTAACGACTGCCGTCCGGACATAAATCAACGTCGCACAAAATCATATAATAAAACAAAAGCAGAAAATAAAAATATGTACATTTTATATTCTGCTCTCGACGCATTTATTTACATTTCCACTTTCATGACTTTTATTTATACTCACAAAGAAGACATTAAAGGATCATAATGATGGACTGCAGGAAGGTTGAAATATGGAACACTTGGAGGCAAAAATAGATGGAAAATGTATACTCACTTTGTCCGTCGTAAGCGTTTATGCATTCGGAGGTTTTGAATTGATTTATAAGGGCCGTTTTACCGACACCGGGTGCCCCCAGGACTGCCACGGAATATGAGGTGTATTCACGGGGCGTAGGGACGCCCTTGACTGCCGCCTCTGCCGCCAAAGTTGGGGGCACCAGGCTGTTGCTGCGGGAGCGCCTTCTTCGGAAGGAGTCGCCACGATTTACAACACCTGAAAGGAAAAAAAATTATAAGTTGAAAATTAGAAATGGAAAATAATATAAGATAAAAATTAGAAATCTAAAATGATATTGAGGTTTTAAAATATTATTATTTGTTTCATCCCCAGAACATTTGTTGAAAAATTAGTCTTGATTAGAAAATAAGCAATCTTATATATAAAAATGGAGCTTTCGATCAAATGATTCGGTAAAACCCGAAAACGGCTAAATTGATTTGGCCAGTCTTAGTTTTGAAAAATTCGCGCTAATTAGTAGGTTGTCGGAAAGGTGAGATATTATTTAAAAACCGCGTAGAAACTTTACATTTTTAATTTGAAAATTTTTGTAGAAGTTTAGTTTAAATAAAACAGTGGACGGCGGCTAATACATCAAATGTCAAATGTTTTTGACAGATGATGTTCAGTTACGTTTAATAGAATGCTTGACGTGAATATTATTTATAATTAAATTTTAGTAAGTAGTTTTGTTTGTAGTTTTACTTATACACGAAAACGTTACTAGAAACTCAAAATATCAACTTTTTTGAAATGTTAATATAAAAATGCTTTTTTGGCATATTTTTCTGAAACACGGTGCTTTTTTATTTATGTTATTTAAATTCAGAACCTAAATTTGGTATCGATCAAAGGGACATTTTGCCGAATAACATTTTCCCAGAATTTATCGAAGAATAGATAGTAATATATGAAGGACCTGGGTTTAAAAGGTCCACCACCGATGTGTCAAAAACCAGTAAAGTTAAGCATTGTTTAACAACAATATTTGAAAGTGGAGGGAACAAGATGTATGACCAGCTCTAACCTTGATTCTTATGACTTTGCTATCAGGTGATAAACGGTAATCTTTGAAAATCCATGATAAAAGTATTTTTTTCCGTTGGTAGTTTTTTAGCATTAGTTAAGACATTAAATCTGGTTGCCACCTGGCCGTTCCAAGTTACTCCGCCTATGGGGTAAAAAGGTCTAGATAACAAATTTTTGAAAGACATAAAAAGCACATTTCTACAATGATGAAGTAGCTGGCCGTTTTACTGAACGTAGTTATATAATTGTAAGTTTGAAATGTGTTATTTGTTGTGATATAATTTGTTTGATTTTTATAATATAATTAATATTTGCTGAAAGTCAAATTGGACGTTTGTACCTCGTCCTGCTCTACATATATACTTTTTATTAAATTTATTTTAATTCATCGAATGTTACGAGAAACTTTTCAAAAAGCAGATTAAAGAAGAAATACTTAATTCATTTTTTATCTCTTCTCGCAGAAATTTGAAAATTTTGTATAAGCTCAATAGTATTAATTACAATTATACACAAAATCGAGAATCCAAAAAGAATTTGAAAAACTTGAAACGTAATCAATAAGTCGAAAGACCAAAAAAGACTTGGATTGGATTATACTATGTTTTCTATAGAAGAAAGTGTATAAAACTTCCAGTTTGATTGTACTGACAAAATGTAGACAAACTAATGGGGTTTATTGTTTTTATAATACCTCATTGTATGTATATAGCATTCAAACAACACATCCTTATACACTTAAAGTATTAATATTTTTGATTCTCTAGAAATTGTGTAGAATATTCCTAACTTAGCAAAACAACGTTTGCCGGGTCAGCTAGTGTAATATAATTTACAAGTTAGAAAGTTGCATGTTTTACCGAAAGTTGTCTCATCTTTATTAATTCTGTCTAAGATCTAAAAGATCCCAACATAGCCCTTTGAATTTCAATTTTTACATTACATGTCAGTTAGTATATATTTGCGATAGTATATAGAATGTAATATGCTGTGATTTATATTATTCACCAATAATGTTATTTTAATTATTTTTTTGGATTCGATTTATATGAAAGATGCTTTCGGAAAAATTATAGAAAATATTCTAAAATATTGTATGACATCACAATGTTGTACAATATCTCGGTATAATTCAAAAAGTAATCAAAAAACACACTAATAAAATTCATATCAGATTTCATCGTATTATCGATTTTTAATAAACTATTTATAGTGCTGCAGTTATTTGATGCAATCATGCATTTATTTATTGCATCTCTTGCAAATTCTGAACAGTTAGTCTAATGTGGAAATGATATTAGACAAATTTGTTCTGAAATAAATTATCTAAATATTGTCTGATCTCATATTGTTATATACAATAATTCGTTATTGTGATACACATACATACTTATACACTAATGATAATCTCATAAGAATGCATTGCATTATCGATTTCATAGTACAGTTTTAATTGCAACTCGCGCATGCATGTTTTTGCTAAATTTCATTTCATAATATTATATAGATTTGTTTAAAATTAAATGATCTACAATACTGTCTAACATTATACGTCTTTATAACAACTTGGTATACTTTAAAACCACCTTAAAGTAATACCTTTAGTTTGTTGTTTGAAAACGTGCATTTATGTCTTATGTTGTCAGTAAATGAAAAACTATTCGATTAATATGAATGATGTCTTAGAAAAATTTGTACAAAATCAAATAAGCTATAATATCGTCTAACATCATTATGCTCTACAGCGACTCAATATACTTCAAAATATAATAAACATACACACAAATGAGATTCTTATAAGAATGCATCAAATTATCGATTTGTAATGCATTTATTGTACTGGAATTATAATTGCCTTTATGCATTTATTTATTGAGTCTCTTGTAACTCCTGAACAATTAGTCCGAAGTCGATATGATATTTAACAAATTTGTTCAAAAATAAATTATCTAAAATATTTTCTAACAATGTAATGCTCTATAACAACTCGGTATACTTTAAAACTGTTTTAAAATAATATCTCAATATACGATAGTCGTTTGAAAAAGTGCATCGTTTTGTTATTTGTCAATAAATCAAAAACCACTCGATTGGTATGAAAGATGCTTCCGACAAATTTGTACAAAATTAAATTATCTAAAATATTGCCTAACATCATATAGCCTTATGTCTACTAGGTATACTTCAAAACAGTCTTAAAAATGAAAACAATATAATCCAATAGTAACAATAATACCTCAGGCATTTATTTGTTATTTTGCGAATAAATCTCTATATTTTTTATTTGTGTATGTATATTTCAGTGTGTGTGTTTCTTGTTAAATTCGATTCTGCTTTTGATGTTTCGGATTTGAAATGGAAATGTCGCTTTTATATTATAAGAAAACGCGAAAACTCATTCCGTCTTCTGTGATAGCCGAGAGCAGATCAAATAAATAAGCAATACAAATTATAAAATACATTTTATTACTTCACCTGAACGATATACAGAAATATATATGTATATACATACATATATATAGAGATTTATTATAGGGCAATCCCGCAGAGAAAAAAAATGAGAAATACTTTTCCGTGGGTTTCATTTTTATTGCAAGTTGATGTTTACGACGGAAAGAAAATCTATTCACTATTGTCGTATCAAATATTTTGTTCGGGATACAAAGAGATTTAATAATATAATATAAGATGATTTATATTATATACATATATGAGTATATATGTCTATATACGTGTATATGTGTCTTTTACAAATTTAACTTAAATAAGAATGTAAAGTAAATACACCCGTTGGCAATGTTACAATAAAAATAAATACGAAGAAAAGAAAAAACAAACGCTTGGCTCCGACATCAATAAATCATTCGCAAAACGGATTCCAAAGTAATTTTGGAATCCACTTGGTGCCTAAAAATGAAAAAGTAGGCCACGAGGAGGTCGTATTAATAGAAACGCTTTCTGTTTGGCACAATGATCCCATGGGAACTTTGGGAATTTTCCCACAAGTGAAACAAAAATAATTTATAGTGGGTTCTGTATAAACATTCATCAGCACTATATCAAAAACTAATAAATTATTGTATATTTTAGCGATACTATTTTAAAGTACAAGGCAAAGGAGTGTAACCAGCCTTTGCCTAAAATCGGACGACATCGCTATCACGAGATAAACAATTACATTGTTGATTTTTTAACCAAGGGTGCGTTACGAAATATTACTTGGGTAAGGGAGGGCTTTATAAAGAAATTACATGTATTTATTTTTTACCTGAATTTTAAAAAAAATTACGATTTTTTCGTAAACTCAATGACAAAAAATTGCTGGGAGAGGGAGGGTAATTTTTAGTTTTAGAATTTACGAAAAAATCGTATTTTTTTTTTAACGAAGGAGACAAAAGGGTTCAAAAATTCTTAAAAAATCGATCACGTGATTAATGGACGCCCCCTCAAAGTATTTTTTTGTTTTTTGCTTATTTTGGTTTTGAGCACTGTTTTTTAGTTTACGACACCTGAATGTAATTCTTAAGTATAAATGATTTAATTGTTTTATGAAATGTATTGCTATTTTTAAATTAGATTCAATAGTTTTCTATTAATTTTTCAAATAAATTATTTCATTCAAAATTCTTTACATTTTTTCTTATAGCATCATTTCCTACAATTGATATTATTGTAGATATTATTTAAAAATTAATTCCCTAGACTAGACTAAATTATTATTAATTGATAATAAAAACTCTGTGGCAAATAAGATTTGCAAATAGCTCAGTCAGTAGCATGCCCGACTCACACGTTATGTATACTCGGTTCGAGTCCTGGCACTGACATAAAATGCTCATTTGATTGAAATTGAGTATATTTTGAATTTTCAATTTGAGAATACAATCAGAATTTAAAAGAAGAAGTAATCACAATTATATTCTGAAAACCAAAACAATTATATTACAACAAATAACACATATGAAATAAACAACTATATGACTATGTTCAATAAAAATCTCAATAATTTATCATTCTAGAAATATGTTTTTTGCTGTTTTACAAAAATTTGTAACTTGGGTCTTTTTACCCCATAACCTGGGTATACTGATATATGGCCAGGGGACAAACAAGTCCAATGCTTTATTTTAATTTTGAAGGGTTTTTATAAAATATAAGCTACGTTATTCAATAAATTTCATGGGTGT